TTCCAAGAAGCTCCAGATGACGGATTGCGGCGTGGTTAATCATTTCCTTGGAATGAAGATCCGATACGACCGCGCCACCGGATGCATGTACCTGGCGCAAGAAGCTGCTGTGGACCGTGTGCTGACGAAGTTCGGCATGCAAGACTGTAACCATGTCAAAACCCCAATGGAGAAAGGCTGTTTCCTGCCACCACAAGCTGCGAATCCTGTGTCCGCATCCATACCGTCAATTGCTGGGCAGCCTGATGTATACGATGCTGTGTGTTCGACCGGACATATGCTACGCTGTTGGATACCTAGGGCGCTTCCAAGTTCAACCTGATGAGGCCCACTGGCAAGCCCTGAAGAGAGTGGTCCGTTACGTGAAGGGGACGAAGAACTTGAAGCTCCAGTACAAGCAAAACGACGACGCCGAGGCACTTGTCGGGTATCGGATGCTGAGGATAGGAAATCCGTTAGTGCCTTCGTCTTTAAGGTCTTTGGGAACACCGTGTCTTGGGCAAGCCGCAAGCAACAAACCGTTGCACTGTCGTCGTGTGAAGCCGAGTATGCAGCTTTAAGTGCCGCGGCCTCCGAAGGGCTGTGGCTGCACGGAATCCTTGAAGACCTGAAGCAAGTTCGACCGGACACGGCATTCAAGGTGTACGAAGACAACCGTGGGTGCATTGCAATGGCCACAAACACCGAAAGCAAGCGTGTCAAGCACATCGATGTAAAGCACCATTTTTTGCGCGACCATGTGGCACAAGGAAGACTTCAAATCGAAGCAATTGATACAGCAAACCAAATAGCGGACACGTTCACCAAGCCCCTGGAACCTGGACGTTTCCGCGAACTGAGGACCCTCCTAGGACTGACCGATTCAGGGGGGGTGTTGGAGTAAATCGGTAACGCAGTGTGCTGATCACCTCCTTGGAGACCGAACGTCACCCCTAGCAACCTAAGTTTTCTTAAATAAACAACGGTGAAAAACTTTTCATTCCTGTTCAAGACTCCACTCAAGCTAGTCGTTAAATAAAATCCATTCTACTTTTAAACTTTGCTGTTCCGGTTCTTTCTAACCATCAAGAAGATTTAAAGCAAAATAATAACTTCACTGTTTGAAACTAAACTGACAAACTGACAGCTCACTCCCATAGAGATTGCTAAAGTATGATCATAGAGGTAACTCTAAGACCACTGGGTCCCGAAGAAAATCATTATTATTTTTGGCTCACTCAGTACCAGAACAACGGTCCCAAGCAGTCCCAAGCTATTTCACTCACCCCTGCATGTTCTGCATAAATCCACACACCCCTGATGTTATCTGTCAAACTTTCATAGCGAATCAAAACAAACATAGTGTATTAATAGAATTTCAACTAGAATAGGGTACGTTAATCGCTTGCTTGGGACCAATAGGCTACTAAAGTGGTGAGCCAATTTAAAATCGTTAGTTTCGTATTGATTGTTGGTATGATTGTGTCAGTGATTTGTTTTCATCGGGAAAATTTTCCGCTATGAAGTATTTTTTCCCGATGAAAACATTTTGCGTATACGTATACGTGAAGTAGTGTGCGTACGATAAACGTCAGCAATCTCTATACAAAGTGACACCATAGAGGTAACTCTAGGACCAGAAGGTCCCGAAGAAACGAGCTCAACTTTTTGGCTCAGCTCTGGTACTATCAACAATCAATACGAAACTAACGATTTTAAATTGGCTCACTACTTGATTAGCCTATTGGTCCCAAGCAAACGATTAACGAACCCCATTCTAGTCGAAATTCTAGTACTACGCAATGTTTGTTTGGATTCGCTATATGAAAGTTTGGCAGATAAAATGAGGGGTTATTGGTTTTTCCTATGTTTCGAGGGGTGAATCGATTAGCTTGGGACCGAAGAGAGTACCAGAGCTGAGCCAAAAAGTTGAGCACGTTATTTCGGGACCTTCTAGTCTTAGAGTTATCTCTATGGTGTCCTCTATGGTAGTCCTGTGGCACGGCGTTCCACCGAAATTGTGCGATATCATGCTGTGACCGGTCCTCAAACGCGACGCTATCTTCTGATCCCGCTGGTTCAACTGTTCTGTCCATTTCCTCGTCGTCCCTTTGATCCGTCTGATGAAAAGGGAGCGGTTTTGCGTCCCAAGCTTCGCATACTTTGCTCACGATCCACCGCTTGACATCGTGTAACGGTACTTCGTTGGTATAGCGAGGGACAGATGGTCCTGCCCCAAACAGAAAGTCAGCTTCAGAGTTGCCTGGTATTCCGCAGTGCCCAGGAAGCCAGCAGAATACTGTGTTTGGTGGCGCGGACTTCATCGTCGCCTGTACCCAGGGATGAGTCGGGGCCTCGAATGTCAGGGCTTGTATGACGCTGTGCGAATCCGTGAGGACCAGGTTCGGTCGGTCGGAAGAGCGTTGTAGCAGAATAATAATTTCCCTTCACACATGTAGTTCTTTTCATAATTCTTCTAAAATAAATTTGAGATTCTCTGAGACTAGATGAGACTCACCCTATGTGGCTCAACCAAGACTCCCGGATATCTAGCTCAGTAGCATGAGACCCCTGAACTGTGTCACAGGGCCGGCATGCTACTTGGTAATTTGGAGGGGTACGCGGAACAAACTGTGCAGAAACTGTGGGATTTCTTACGTGATTGTGAAATTAATTGGAAGCTAAAGTGTGGGTGAAAAAAGTCTAAAAGTTTATTAAAATGGAACTATGGTGCGGATGGTTTTATTGGGCTATTATGGGGTGTGTTCTGTGGGTTTCTGCTTCCTTGGTACGTACCGGGGGTGTTTGCTGGACGATGGCGAGCGCTCGCTGGTGGTGATTATATTGGGCAGCTGTTGTTTGACCGCGATGGCTGTCCGTGACTTGATCACTCCGTCGACAATGGCGGATCGGTGCCTTAAACTGGTCTGGAAGATGGCGCCTGGTGACTGGAGCTGTGGTCACTACAATGGCGGGTTTGAGGCTTGGGTTTGCGCGTTGCGATGGCGGTTCGCAACCAGGGAATATAGCAATCCCTGTGCAGCTACTGAAGTAGCCTTTTCGGTGTCAACGGCGTCTCCCTTCGAACATCAGCTGACCGTGACAAGGCCACCTTGGTCGAGCCGAGAAGGGTCTGCCTCCTTAACATTTTTTTTTCTTCTTTATTATAGAGATTTTTAGCCATAAGCTAGTTCATCTCTTATTCCTCCTCCTTAACAGTTAGGACTACCGAGTCCGAGGATGCTCTCCTTTGTGGCAATTATTAAGCCGGAGAGTGGAAGGTCCTTGACATTTAGACCAAGACAGTCGAGACTGACTTGGTCGAAAAGTGCCGATCGTGAGGATCTCCGTTGAATACCAAACAAAAGGTCCTGAAGGACAAATGGTTGTTTTAAACCAAGCCATAATCATTTTTGGTCAAATTCAGTTACCTGAATGAACACCAGGAACATAAAAAGTTCGTTCTCTGCACTTTGGTTCACTTTTGCACTCCACTCACGTCTTCTAGGCACAAACGCCGATTTACTTCTGGGCAATGGTTGACCATCCCAGCTATCAAAAGCCCTCCTTTTCCCATCCAGTTTTCAATTCGTTCCTTATTATTTCCTCCATTTTCCTTCCTTGTAGCTTATCACCACCCATCCATATTATCTCCTTCGCCTATTGAGTTTTTCTACCCCAGTTGATTATAACACCCTTTCGATCCTGTCACATCCAATTAAGCTTATAAACAAATATCATTTTCAAACTACCTACTAAGACAAATTTATACATTTTTCAATAACAGCAATTTTACCGAGGGGGACGACTCTATCTACGATGCAGGAAAGATTGTGTTTTGCTGTGGCTAGCTGCGTGCACGCTGAGTAGATAGAAAGAAGATTGACGATGATTCTGAAGATTTCCTGCAAAAAGATGATGCGCGATGCAAGTAGATGCGAGAAATGAAAGAAGATTTTTCGAAGATTGATTCGCTAGTTGGAGATTTGTTAAGCATCTAAACTTGAGATTTAGATGTGTCGCCCCCCTCGAATTTTACCTACAATCCTACTAATCCTACTAACCAAACACTGACACTAAACAAACACTACAGTTTCCTAAAACAACATGCACAAATTAAAACCTAGGACATTGTAACTAAACGGTTACATCTCTCTGGGAGTCATTTGAAAATGTATTTACAACAGTCCAGAAATTGTCTGCAGACCACTTCAAAAAAAAATGAGATTTGAGTTTAGGTTCTCTTCGAATTTTAAACTTTTTCTAATAATTCTCTGAAGGTTAATTTTATTTTATTTTAATTCTTTTGAATCCTCCCTTCAATTTCCATGCAATTCATCTCAGATTTGTCTTAAAATGTTGTTCAGAATTATCTCCTCTAAATGCTCCTTTGAAAATTCACTAGAAATTCTTTTCGAGATGCCCTGCCAAGAAACATTGCCAGTTTTAACAAGGTTCTAAGGGCCTGTTCATAAACTACGTAGACAGTTTTTTTGGGATTCTTGAACCCCCCCCCCCTCCCCCTGCGTAGACAATCGTCCATACAATTTTTTTTAAATTTGTATGGGCCGTGGATAATTGTCAACCCCCCCCCCCCCCCCCCCCTAAACTGTCTACGTAGTTTATGGACAGCCCCTAATGTATTCTACAAGTCTAAATCATGGAATTATCCTCACAAATCCCTTAAAACTCTACGCAGGATTCACGAGAAATTCTACCCTCAAAATTCGATTCCCTTGGTATTTTTCACGGATCATAGAATCCTCTTTACAATCGTCATGGAATTATTCACAGAGGTAATTTTTACTCCTAACTCACGCAATTGACTTGAAGTTCTAGTAAAAACTCTTAGAGTTCTTCACAAAACTCCCCAGGAAATTTCCTATGCACAAAAACTTGGTGTTATTGGAACTGATTTCCGAAAATCGGAAAATACGAAACGGTAAAATAAGAAACACTATTTACTCTGGATGACCAAGATTTTTTGATTTTTTTTTTCGAACACATTTGGCGTGGTTTTATTCAAGTATGATGATAATGTGATATTGACAAAATTCTTTGATCATTTTTAAAACTAAATGTAGACGTTGTGTCAATTCTCTGAAAAAAAAGATAGGTACCGACTAATCCAATCCAGCGGCTTGACTAAAAACTTTCTTTTATTGTGCCATCAGTACCTATCTTTCTGTTAATATTATCTCGATGATGTTAGTCATGTCTCTCGTTACGTATACGCTTATTCAGCCAAATGTTTGTGTATTGATTCGAAAACAAACTAAATAGAAAGTGGTAATGAAATCTTCTGACAATCTCTACCCAGTGATGATAATGCCTCGATTACGAATGCATACTATTATCTATTTCGAACTACTAATATTGATCATAAACTTACCACTAGAGCTACCGATCAATACAACCGGAAACGTTCGAGTAGGGTCACCTCCTCGCGGAACTTTTCCGTCTCGCCTGACGAATCCCACTGCTGGAACATCGTCTGAAATAGGATACCATCGAGGTAACATTCGTCCTGTAATTGAAAAGATTAAATAGAACCGTTTCGTAGAAATATTGGAAAGATTCTCCGAAAAACATTTACCATGAATGTATCATCCAGTCCTGCGCTGTAGAAGCTGTGCTTTACCAAGGTGCGCATTTTTATGTACATAAAGTACAAATGGAACGCACGAAGATGCAAATGCTTCGGCAATTCATGGGCCTCCGGTGGCTCGCGGACACACCGGTGGATTCCCAACAGAAAGATATCCGCCTCAAAGGTATCCATCATGTTCAACTGGTTGATAAACAAGACAATAAACTCGCAACACACTCACAAAAACCAAGATTATCAACATACCTTAACCATGTACCGCAACGTTACGCTATCTTGCAACAGCGAGCGCTGATCGGTCTTCCAGAAGAACTCCAATGCGTGGCGATCCAGTTCCATGCCTGTGATGAATTCCAACATGCGAATATTGAACTCCGGAACAATTCTGCTAAATCCCTCCAGCGAGAAGATGAATTCCAACGAAGGAACATACAGCCCTTCCGGGTACTCTGGTTCCAGTTCTACGGTGGCATATTCATCCTGATGGCTACGTTTAATGTTCACATACCGCATCAAGGTGGGATCCTTCTTGTGCTGTAGAATCACGCCACAAATACGCCGGTAAAGAGACATACAAATCTCGTAGAAATCAACATCACGCTGTAGCCAGTACCGGTAATCGATGAACGTGATTGAAACGGTAAACTTCATTCCGTGATAGATGTCATAGTTGAATGAATCCTGCTTTTTAAGCTGCATACTGACCGAGTCGTTATTCTGTTCGGTGGACAGGGTAATCTTGTTGATGTCGTAACTCTCGCAAACCGATTTGAACTCATCGAACTTCTCTATATATTTCTGTTCGCCAAATAAATCCCGAGCAATCTTGAGGTAGTCCAGCTCCTGCAAGTTACCGGCCGTCTTCTTCACATACATGGCCAATGTCCTGAACACAGTTCGTGAATTTTTATCGAACTGCATTCGATCAACAAAGTTGCAGAAAGTCTGAGTGGCATAGTACCGATCCGCGAGAGCCGCCAGCAGTCTCATCTGTTTGGCGGAAAGCTGCAGTGTTCGCCTTATAACCAGCGGGTCGAACTCATCCGTCGTCATTGATTCTACCGAACAGTTTACCAAAGACCACAGCTTGTACCGAGGAAACGCCAATCCACTGTACAGCAGTACAGCAAAGTTCTTCGAAATGATCGCAAGGGCATCGTTAACCGACGCATTTTTGACAATCTCCTGATGGCGAGTATTGTCCCATGCCCAAAGGATCTTACCATACTTGCGAACAATCTTCACTACCGATTCCGTCCAGATGCGTTCGATCGGAATAAATCGGGCATCTTCGGCCACCCTGCTATAATGCTCATTTCCCAGATAATCAATAATTGCACACTGCAGATTGTACCGCCAATCCTTGCTACTACCCTTCAAATCATCCTCGTCCGGGATGATCTGTCCGCTGGTGTCAAAGTACGGCCCATTGGTAATGAAAATCAACTCTGCTCCCCATTCCTTCATCTTCGCCACGAACCGTTCCAGCTTCTGGACCCGCATCCGCGAAATACCGCAAAGATCTCCCATCTTCTCTCTGGTGCCCGTACGCGTTAGGTACCCCTCGAGCTGGTCGTAATACATCAGATCGATGATGATCGTGGGGCTGCAACAAATCGAAAACCATGAATGACAACAATTGCCTAGTTTACCACAAACGCGACATTAGTTTTTTACGTTTTGCCATCCCTTTTGCTCTCGTGTATGCGCTGCTCAATGGAGACCGTCTTGGAAAATCCATTACTTCGAAGGTAACTGGAAATTACTTGAGTCATCTTCTACAATAAACTTGATCGCTCTGTTCAAAACAAATGGAACTTTCAAATTTGTATTAACAAGAATACAATGGCAAATAGTGCAGGAAACAATATCATCCGTAAAAATAACACATCACTCATGAAAAACGCGGAAAACAAAACCGTTAGGATTGGGCGACCTTGACCGATCTTCTGGCTCTCCCCCAGCGTTGCCAGATATACAGATTTATCGGCATTTATACCGATTTCCGAAATAGATATACACACTATTTTTATATCGCTGGAAACCAGCAAAATTTTGCTGGATTTTGCCGAGCTGTAAAACCAGCAATTCTTCCAGCAAAATATTTTTGCTGAACGACCAGCAAATTGACCCTACAGAAAAGTGACAGCTGTTTACTGGAAATTCAGCAACACGTACTGGATATTCAGCAAATTAGCGTGGCAATGATGTTGCTGAAAGACCAGTTATTTGAATTGGAATTGGTTTTCAAACTGATATAAAACTCAATTGTATTTGGTATTTGATTACACGCATGAACATTTCACATATCAATCACATTGATTATTCACTTGTAGGCGTTGAATAAATTTCAAAGTGATTCATAATTTTATTGGATTTATCGACGGTTTTTAAACTCATTTGATGTTCAACCCGGCAATATTTGCAGCGAGCTTTGCAGCTACAGATATACAGAGAATCGGTGTAATCCATATAAATATTGAGTTCACTATACATTTGCGAATATTCTAATTATATTTTACCTGTAATTCATGATTAGTTGCTCTCTTCAATAGAAAAACAGAATACGCGGGAGAGTGAACGGTGATGATTTTGACGTCTCATACAAGTTACTGAGCATCCAGCAAAATATCTCAAATTACTGAACATGCAACAAGATATAGTTTTGCTGGAAGCCATTCAGCAATGTGTTTTGCTGGAACTCGATCCCAAAATTTGGTGTGTAGGGCATCTTTAGTGGCGATCCAATTGGTTGGTTTGGTCTAAAATTTTGGAACAGACCCAGACCGAGCCCTTGCACTGGTGGTCTATATTTTGGTTTAGACTAGTTCCAAAATGTAATCTTTTTAAACCAGTATAATTATCGATCTATTTTGAACTGAATTTGGATCAAGGCAAGCACTGTTCCAAACTAGTTGTCGCACTCGAGATTTTGTTTTGTTTTGTTTCGTTGTTGGGGTTTTTTCAGCAAAACTCGATTTTCTACACGCAGTTACTCGATTTTCTACACGCAGAAATTTTTTTCGTTGAAACAAAAATATTTGAGGTAAATTCAAACGTAAACTCAGTTTGTTATGGCCACAAAAATAAACAAGGTTTATTTCAAACGTATTCCATGTTTGAAGTCATGTAATATTAATGTTTAAAATAAAAATAATTTTACGTTTATTTTATAAATATTCGTGTTGAAAATAAACGTGAATATTTTTGTTTGGTTTGACAACAATGTGAACAAAAATAAATATGTTTATTTTAAACATGCTTCTTATGTTTGAAAGAAACATACTTAATTTTAAATTATATTAGCATTTGTATGTAAGATAAAGTAGAAAAATGGATTGCCAAGAGATGAAAAAACGATCTGCTGGAAGATCTCGAATTCAGTTTGATTGCAATGCTCGTTGCAATGTAGGATTGGAAATGCAGGAATTGGAAGATGAGGATGATGAGAAATCGTTGAGTTCGGTAAGGAAAGAGGATGAATGCAGCACTGATTTTAGTAAGAAGTTGATCCAACAAATTAATCATTCGAGTCAGGATTGTGTGAATATGATAAAGCTTGCTGAAGTTTCGAAGCAAATGGAAAATGAGCGGATGAAGTTGGAGAAATTACGGAAAGAGCAAGAACACAAGGCAGGTGTAAATGAGGAGCATGTTTCGGATCTGTTTGTGGCAGGAGAGAAGATCAAAGACAAAAGCTCGAAGCAAACAGGAAGAAATGACTTTTTCTGAGGGGGGGGGGGAGATGCTGGAGGTTCCGGAATAGATTCAAATTTCACATGTCATTTCGGATTTTCGTTTCCCTTTGTTATGATGCTTACCTAGGTGGGTTTCCGCATCCATGACTTCGGTTTTGTTGCGGGCCCTTTTGCAGTTGATTTGCAAAGCTGGGGCATTTTTTTTTCCGAATGTAAACAAGAAGAAGAAAATGCAGGGCACGCTAAAAAACGTTTACCCAAATTCTATATTGTTGAAATAAACATGCTTCTGACTATAATTCAAATTAATATATTTTTGTTGCAAACATGGTTTTAATTTATTTTGAATTATTTATATGTTTATAGAATGAACATTTTTATTTTTGATTTAAATGAACAAAATTCGGTTCCGTGTAAGAAACGCGGGCTGTTGCTGCCGGCCCTGACGTCGCAGCTGCGAAAGGATCACAAGGGAGACATCCGGACGCTTCTGTTCTGCAGGATTTTCCGGGCATGTTCTGGAAACTCCCAAGGAAGTGGCCAGTTTCTGACTTTGTCCAAAACTCATCGTGTGACACATCAAATCACATTAGATTTCAAAAACAAAATATCAATGGTAGTCAAATATAGTGCACAGAATCATGTTGACGGGCACCTTCAAGGAAATGGCCAGTTTCTGATTTAATCCAAAACCCATCATGCGCCACTTAGCAAATCACATTAGATTTCAAAACCAAGATCTATGGAAGTCAAATAATGTGCCCAGGACCATCTTTCTTACACACAAAAAATAATCGTTGCTAAAATTAAAAAATCCGTTGGTAGAATTGAAAGTTTGCGTTGGTTCTTTTTGGTAGAAAGCGGTTAGCTTTCAAACCAAAAGTCAGCAAGCTGTCAAATCAAAAGTAGTCACCTCACTACTTTTAAAAGTTTAAACTTTCAAAATGAATTGTACTACTGTCAAATGAAAAGCATGACAGTGTTGAAATAAAATTGGATTATTGTTGTTTCGAAACAAGCCTTTGTCAAGAAACTTTAGTATAGTTAAAATGAAATGAGCTATTATTATCGATCCAAATAAAATCATTTTCAACATAACAATATTATTTTTATTTTTATTGGAACATAGCTAAAGGTTTCCGTTTGGCTTCCACATTACGTTTAGCTATAGGCAAATCCGGGCTGTTCGCTTGTTAAAACAGCTCCTTCCTTTGATCCCGTTACTGAAGACGCGATCGCGGATGGGATTTTCATCTCGTCTATAGGGATAATTTCACCTGGAGGAAAAACATAGTTTAGCTATTTGGTACGGGATTTGCTAGTCATAAATACTAACCTTTCATAGCTGATTTAATGCTCGATTCGCCTTCGCGGTTTTACATTTTCTCTGTCATGCAAATGGCTTGTTTAACTCCGATGGTGGCTAGAAGTAGCATAGGGAGAAAACAAATTCCGTTGCGGTGTAGTCATCCAAACCACCAAATAGCAACTATGCGGACTATGTAGATCGTGATCCTGGCCGGAGGAGAACTCCCTTGAACCTGACGACCGACTCGACATTTAGATAGGATATCCGGATTAAAGTTTGGCGAATCGAATTTATGGAAGAGGTATAATCATAACCTGAAATCGGGCAGAACAAGAATATAATAAAATTTATTCATTTGGATAGCAAACATCTAATTAAAATTTTACTTACCTGCCTAAAGGTAAACAGGAACAATAACAATCTGTAGTTATTGTATTGAAACATGACCAACATTGGAAATGGTAACAAAAATGCGAGATTTTTGGGGTTTATTATTTAATTTTCACTACTTAGCGGTCAGATTGGCATAAAGACTGTAAATGAGCCGGCTCAGTTCAGTGCTGCCAATAAGTCCCTACGAAGATGTATTTTTGACAGTTTAACAACTTTTCTTTTAAAAAGTGTACTTTTAACATTAACAAGTTGAAGGTGAAAGAAACACTTTTAAATAAAAAGCATTACTTTGGTTTTTAATGTTTTCGTAGTTGAAATTACGAATTTTGGGAAACTTTCAATTTAAGAATGCATTAGTTTTATTAAAACAATATTTGTTTTTTGTGTGTACTTCCAAGCATCTTTCAGGAACCCCTAGGGAAGTGACTAGTTTCTGATATGGTCCAAACCCTGTGATGTGTCAAATCTCGTAGATATTAAAAAAAACAAGATCAGTTTAAGTCAAATATAGTGTCCAGATCTAGGGGAAGGACAGCTCCAAGTATCAGTATCAATACGGATGGTGGAAATATTAAATATTTTAATATGTGTGATATTTGCGAATCTTACCCTTAGCCTGACAGTTGTTTTTTTTTGTGTTTGAATATTTTTGGTTTAAAGTGTACATTTGACATTCGTTTAATCAAAAATGGATTTCACACGAGAGGCTAGTCATTCCTTGATGATCTTGCTGGCCAGGGCCACCAAAATCCGCTCCTTGTTCTCATAAATTTGGCATTCTTTGGTAGCTGATCTCAGTGCACATAATCTGGCGCACTTCCGTTCCCAGGAAATTGTCATAAATTTCCACGAATTCTTCATCGTCTGCAATCCAATGTTCTGTCCTTCGATGGAACGGGAATCGACTGACTACGGTGCCCCTGTAAACGGAGTCCCATAGTGATGGTTCCGTGGTCGTAATACATTCGCCATGAGCCTGCAATTTGGAAAGATTTGCTGCTGGGGGAACTTGCCTAGTCCAGTACCGTTTTTAACATCAAAAAAGCCGAAGCCGAAAACGATCAGAGCCAAGATGACTACATATAGGTGTTCTAATGTGTCAAATTCATGATTCAGCCATGTTGGATTTTTGTATGGGACAGCGACCGAGTTTGTTTACAATTTGCTCTAAAACCGCACTTTTCCCCCCGCGACCTCCTCGCCTATATAGTGAAAAAGCTGTATCACCATTTGTATACCCACCATGATCAGAGCTATCGAAAACAAAAATCTAGGCAAAAATGATGAAACAGAAAGCTGCAGGAACATAAACAACAACGGTGAAACGTCATTAAGTGTATGCGTTAAAGCTACACTGTTATTTTTTTTTTACTTTTAACTTAACAGTTAATATCATTAATATTTATACTAAAAACTACACTGAAACAAATCGACATGTATCGTTTATTGGGTCCATCTTATAACATTGCAATGTCAGCAGATTTATCCATTCTATGTGATGATTGATAGATTCCATCGG